CCTTTGCCATCTTCCCTCTCTGCCTTTCTTTAGGGCAGAAAATGTCCCCAGCTCTGTCCTTGCCCGTGTCCTTGCATCCTGAGCGCCTTCAGAGCAGCACCCACTGTCCGGGCAAGCAAGGGCCCCTGGCTGCCGCCCCACCAACGCCTCCGCCTTATCAGAGCTATTTTCAGCTGCTGGCCCCAAAGGTGCAGAAGCTGCAACCCTGACTGTGCTGGGGAGCTGGTGAGCCTGGCCAGCAGCAAAATGGGGTACAGGGCTGCTGAGCTGGGTTGCTCCTTCCTGGGGAGGCGGCTGTAGACCAGCCCTGATCCAAGTCCCCTGGGCTGCCCACCCACAGCAGCACCCTGCCACATGGCCGGGGTGGTGGGTCCACAAGTGCAAGGAGCGTGGCAGTGGCTTGGCTCTATTTGTTGCATCTGGCACCCCTCAGCTGGGGATGATGCTGTGCAGTGTCCCCTAAGAGCAGAGGGTCCCCATGAGGCCATGGGTGCCCGGCACATGGTTCCCTGCCAGCTCCGAGTTCAACATTAACCATCCGCATGGTGAGCCGAGGACCTGAGCCCTGTCCTCCCCTCAGCCCTGCCTCTGGGGAGACCATACCCTGACCCCCACAGTGGTAATGTTCCCAGTGGGATGTCCCCAAGCCCCATGCACCCACCCACCTGCTGACCCCAGCATGGGTCCACACCTCCCTTACCTGGCCAGAGGATGCCCCAGACACTGAGGAATGAAGACGCTCTCCTGCTGCACTGGGAATGAGGCCGAAGCCAAGTTGCAGCCACCAGGACTCGGTGGCCCCTGCTGGCCCTCCGCGGCACCCCCGGGCTCCCTGTGCTTGCCCCGACCCGTGCTGGGCTCCAGCCCAGATGCCAAGGTCCGACTGTGGAACAGCAGTTATTTCTGGCTGAGAAAGGGGGCGGAGCAGGGCTGACCCTTGGGGACGAGGATGGTGGCTGTGCAGCAGCAGCAGGAGGTGGCCATCTGCCACATGTGGTGCCCAGGCCACTTTGGGGACAGATGGGAGCCAGGCAGGCCAGGCCAGGTGGGATAACATTAGTTTATTTCTGAGCTGGTAATACAACTGCGTGGCAAATCTGGGTTGTGGTGGCTGGTAAGCAACAGGGGGGGCTGTGACCGAGGAAGAGCAGGCTGCAGGGTGGGAGGACCCCAGGGGACTGGGATGGACTGACTGTGGTGGCACGGGGAGGGTGACAGGGGCTCCGTGAATGGGGAACGTGCCAGAGCCCCAGCAGCCCAAGCACATCGTCCTTTCTCCGTGCTGCTCTTACCAGCACCAAGGCTGTGTCCCATGGGCGGGTGGCTGCTGTCACTGCTGTAGTATCTCCTGGCATCCTCATCCCTGGGTGGGGACAAGTGCTTTGGGGACCCATTGCCCTCCCTGGGAACCCACTGCTCTCCTCAGGCTCTGCCATGTAACTGTGTCCACCCTGACACCCTCGTCTCCACATCACCCGCTGAGCACCATAGAGAGCTATGATACTGCTGCCCTCGGAGGGGCTTTGCCCACACCCCATCCCCTTGCAAGGGCACTGGCCCGGAGCAGCTCCCCATGGGGACACTAGCCTGTCCCCAAGACACTCTCAGCCTCACTTCCTGCAGTAACACCTCCTTCAAACCCTCTGCAACCTGTACCTGTACCTTCAGCTCCCTGCCACTGACCCCAACCTCCTCCTGCCCACCCCGTCTGCCACAGCACTCGCTGGTCCCCTTGTGTTCCTCCATCCCGCAGGGGTGGGGACAGGGATGGGCTGTGCCTGAGGATGGTGACAGTGACAGGGGACAGGATGGGGCTATCACTGTCTTTGCCTGTGCAGGGTGGGAGGGCACCTGTAAACGGTCCTCTTGACGTGGCAATAAATAACTTTGGCTCTCTTTTGGTCACTGGGGAAGGATTTGAGGGAATTTCTTTGAGAAGGGATCAAAAGTAAAAAAGAAAGCAAAAAAAAACTGAGGGGCTGGGGACTGGAATAAAAAAATTAACTTTTCCTCTCCAGAATCTGGCTTCAGTCAAAACCAGTCAGATCTGAAGGCTGGGAGAGGCTGGGAGAAGGTGCTCCGGCCACAGCACCCGTCTGGCGCTGCCCATCCCTGCCAGGGATGCTGTGACCCTATAGGCACCAACGCTGGCCGTGCCACCCCGGGAAAGCAGAACTGTGGTGACACTTCAGAGTGACACCCCCGTGCTGGGGACAGGGGACTTGCAGGGGACCACCGAACCCATCCTCATGAGCTATAGAGGGAGGGGGCCACGCTGGGGACTGGATTCCTCCCCCTCCCCGCTGCCTGCTCTGCCTGCTGACCAG